CACGAGGGCTGGGATACTGCCAGTTTGCCCAAGCCTAGACGGGAAGTCGAGAGACAGAGGTGGGGTTCAAACCACGGACCTTCAGGTTGGTAAATTCTCGCTCTAACCACTTGAGCCATCTCGCCCCCGCTAATTTATTCACAAACGAACCAATATTCTCAGAAGAGCATCACCAGTGACTCTGCGGTGTTTCGTTCAAGCTGGTGATACTCAACGACAAGTGTCGTCTTGTGATAAGACCATCTGAAGGCGAGGTGACCTTCCTTTTGACACTTTGCCTCTCTAGAAAAGGCTACTTCCTACAAGGAATAATTTCGTCCGGTCTTTCACACAGGCCTCTCCAGATGGGAACAAATGGACAGTAAGATCCTTTAAACAGTTGGTACTCATGCTCTTACTGTGATCCTCGTTTACCAGTTTGACTTTGAGGATAATTCCTCTTGAGTTAGCACTTCAGGGGATGACTCATGCCAGGCTCTTCTGGGAGATACCTGACTTCAAGAAGTATGCTTCAACAACTAAGCCAAAAGTGATCAGTTTTGAGTGTAAACTGTCAATGTTATGCTGGACGCAGGTCTCCGTAGCCGCCAACGTTTTCTTGACTAGTACCATCTGATTCTCTAAAAGACTTCCACGAATTTAAGATTAGATCTACTAGATATCTGCATCTTGCACGTGTGTGTGTGTGTGAATTTAGGGTAACGTATCTTGCTGCGTCGTGTTATTCTTACTGACTGGTATCCACAAACTGTACCCATATTGCACATCGCTTCATCGATCCGAAGAAAATAACAGGTTGTGTGTGTGACCACACTATTTCATTCTCTACCATGATTGCTGTTTACTAAGACGGTCAGACGTGCGCTAACCAGTCCGTCACTGATTACATTTGACGTTCACATTTACCATGTGACTGAATGGGGTCAAATGCGAACCAGCTGTGTCGACAGAGGCGCATCAGCTGAGACACAGAGCATGCGGATGAATGTCGGTGCCAAGGGATGTGATCGTGGAACGGGTACCTTTCCACCATCCAAAGTCACCGCACTGTAGTGACCACCTTTCGGATCTAATCGTACGACCTTATAAGCGCATCAGTGGCCATACAAATATCAATATATGATTAATGTTCTCCTCCCCCCAGCATGACTGTCACTAAAAAAAGACCAAGGAGGTTTTCTCCTGCCATGACTTATCAAGTGCGCTAAGTGGGATAAGCCAGGCTGGACATTTTGGAGCCGTTGACCTTCGCCGACAGCTGTTGACCAAATCAACTTGTACCGGGCAGATTGGATTTTGTCCAAAAATGAATCTCTGATTGGATTTATCATTTAGCCATGAATGTCCTGTTGCGCGACACATTTCTGAATATCGATCAAGCTTCGTAGCGTAGATGGTAAACTTTGCACTGACTGGAAATGTCGCAGTTTAGATTTAAACCAGCTCAGTTTGGTTGCGGAACGCATCATATCAAATCAAGAACAACCGGGGGAGTCCTGGTGGAGAGGAGGTCGTTAGAAAGTTTAACTACTACTACAAAATGAATGTCTGTGTTCTTCTTCGATGACATTTTGTCGCACCATTTTTTATCCGTCCAGGGAATTGTTCAGAGGCACTAGCACACAATGGCGGCAGCAAAATGATGCGTCACAGCCGGTCTGTGCAGTTAACTCTACACCTGGCCGCCTTGACCTAGCTGTTGGAAGGCGCATCAAAAATATGCACCTGTAGTTTGTTGCTCTTGGATGATTCAGCCACCATACTTGCAACTCATGGACAGTTGAAGATTATTCGTAGTTTCACCACTCTAGGCAGTTGTTCCTGACCTTCAGAAGCCATAGCTATTTGATTTTCATTAATAATTTGCATCAACCACAAGAACAAAAAATCAGGGTGATGATACGTCACACGGAAGTACAGACATGCGATTTTGTTCCGTGCCTACAGAACAAGATTAGGCCTGCTCCCTACAGCAATGAGTTTGTGCGTGTTGTGTGTGTTGTGCTGATCAGCTGGTCGTACACACTCCTCAGCTAGGCAAGCTCCCAATCGTGTATAGCAGTACCTCACTCATATTGGTTATTATCTGTCGAGTGCCTGAAATTCCGATTGGGAGCAGGACTTCAGTTGCTGCGCGTTGCATCTATTTGTATTTGGTCATATTTTTAAGAATAAATTATACGGTCAGTGGAACTGTTCTGTATGAACACAGCAAACTCGTCTTTAATTGCTAAAATGGCACCGTTAACCTCTCCACTTAGTTAAATCACGTTCTGATTGTGTTCTCCCAAGTCCACAAGAGACAATGGTTATCTCGCTTGTGTCGCTACGCAGCGAAAACTCTCTCTAGAGCACCTGTCTTTTGGGGATTCGTACGTATTTTGCCTCCTGACTCACATGTCACCACGATTAGCAAGTCTTGTTCTCAGTTTGATGGTTAACTTTACGATCGAAGTTCGTCCAACTAGAGCTTATTTGGTCTCAGGTTTTTTGTCGTCAACATTGAGAGTAAAGCCTCAGCGCCAAATTAACCAATTCTCATTTCTTTTGGTTCAACTGAAAGCCTGGAGAAATTCAAACAACACCAAAAATTATTACCCACTCTGAAACTCTGCACGTTTTGTTCGGATGCATTCGCTAAAGGATTGTGCTGACTCAAGCTGGTACTTTCCTACCTCCCTGAAAGTTTTTTTTTAAGAAAAACGCCTGGGATACCTAAATCTCTGTGAACTTCAGGTGGGTGTGTAGGCCTACACTCACTGTAGGAGCTCCCGCCTTTCCAGGCTTTCGGCACTTCAGCTGGGACTCATATCAATACAGTCTCTGAATCCTATGTAAGTTACCTGTGATTGGCTTGCCATTCTGAGGAATCGAAACCCTAAAAACCTGGAAGTCGTACTAGGCAAGTCAGACAACAATATGCCCGTTGATTGGTATGCAGACTGTGTGAAAGATTGGACATCATAATTGATTAATGCTGTCTGCCCGCATGTATGTCGTGTGCCAGACTTTCTCATTCTCCAGTCGTACCAGCCGATAGAACCAGTAAATTTTGATTTGCTGCAGCAGCAAAACCGCGTGACATGGAATGGCTGGTCGACAGTATCCGCCTCATCCACCGTCCCTCCTCATTGGCTGGCGGGCGGAAGATTGACAGATTGTGACTCATTCTAGTAGGACAAAATCAGCTGATTTCATTGGACCAGGCCAGAAAGCGTGCGACAAACTCGACCAGCTTGTTAACAAGGCCGACAGAATGAAGTGAGGTACTGAAGCGAAAGATGCATATTTTCCTGACGGCTGCGCGGAAGTGGTGAACAGATGGAGCATCAGGAATATAGACCGAACGAGAGAGTGAAAAAATATCCCTTCGAGATATCCTTGTCATTAGTGATCAGAACCTCTCGCACTATTCACGTTCTGATTGTGTTCTCCCAAGTCCACAAGAGACAATGGTTATCTCGCTTGTGTCGCTACGCAGCGAAAACTCTCTCTAGAGCACCTGTCTTTTGGGGATTCGTACGTATTTTGCCTCCTGACTCACATGTCACCACGATTAGCAAGTCTTGTTCTCAGTTTGATGGTTAACTTTACGATCGAAGTTCGTCCAACTAGAGCTTATTTGGTCTCAGGTTTTTTGTCGTCAACATTGAGAGTAAAGCCTCAGCGCCAAATTAACCAATTCTCATTTCTTTTGGTTCAACTGAAAGCCTGGAGAAATTCAAACAACACCAAAAATTATTACCCACTCTGAAACTCTGCACGTTTTGTTCGGATGCATTCGCCCAAAGGATTGTGCTGACTCAAGCTGGTACTTTCCTACCTCCCTGAAACTTTTTTTTTAAGAAAAACGCCTGGGATACCTAAATCTCTGTGAACTTCAGGTGGGTGTGTAGGCCTACACTCACTGTAGGAGCTCCCGCCTTTCCAGGCTTTCGGCACTTCAGCTGGGACTCATATCAATACAGTCTCTGAATCCTATGTAAGTTACCTGTGATTGGCTTGCCATTCTGAGGAATCGAAACCCTAAAAACCTGGAAGTCGTACTAGGCAAGTCAGACAACAATATGCCCGTTGATTGGTATGCAGACTGTGTGAAAGATTGGACATCATAATTGATTAATGCTGTCTGCCCGCATGTATGTCGTGTGCCAGACTTTCTCATTCTCCAGTCGTACCAGCCGATAGAACCAGTAAATTTTGATTTGCTGCAGCAGTAAAACCGCGTGACATGGAATGGCTGGTCGACAGTATCCGCCTCATCCACCGTCCCTCCTCATTGGCTGGCGGGCGGAAGATTGACAGATTGTGACTCATTCTAGTAGGACAAAATCAGCTGATTTCATTGGACCAGGCCAGAAAGCGTGCGACAAACTCGACCAGCTTGTTAACAAGGCCGACAGAATGAAGTGAGGTACTGAAGCGAAAGATGCATATTTTCCTGACGGCTGCGCGGAAGTGGTGAACAGATGGAGCATCAGGAATATAGACCGAACGAGAGAGTGAAAAAATATCCCTTCGAGATATCCTTGTCATTAGTGATCAGAACCTCTCGCACTATCTAGCATTATTTGTTGGACTTAATCCTATGGTCTACCGACATTGAACCCAACTCAAACACTAACACACGCTAAAAAAGTCAGTTTCTATAAATTAAAGTGGAAATAGCACAGTGTTTTGATGAAAGCCTCCATTTCAAACTACTCAACTCCCGAACAGTTGAACAACACATGATTCCGCTGCCGGAACACAACAGTGACTTCATAACACTCGAAGACGGTTGTCATTAAGTCCCTTCCAGTGATACTATTTCTAGTAGGTAACCAGAAGCAGTTGGTCTGAGAGGAACTCATCTGCTGGTTGTAAGTGAGATCGGTCATTAGTTGTGAATCGCTGATTCCAGAAGCTTGCAGTCGCCCATCATACATGCAACCCTAGGTTAGTTTGATTTTTCCACACTAAATGACTGTTATCACGAAGTCTGCTTCTGTCTGAGACATTTCGTTGTACATTTCATCAATAAAGGCTAATAAGTAGCAACCGCAAGTAAGCGACATTCTGGTGGTTGATCAGATGGCAGTTGATTTGTTCACTGAGCTTGGCAATTGGTTTGCAAGCGTTTCGTCCCCAGTCGAGGAGACATCGTCAGTGCGCAGTTGAATGGGTACTTCCTCCGTGCCTGGCTGCGTTTATGTAGTTTTTTGAAGAGAATCTAATATCCTGTCATGTGATTGGCTAGTTGGTATGTCTTCTGTTGCATTATTGTAGGATCGAACGTGATTTTTTGCTGCGTTGTGGTCTGTGTGCCTTTTATTCTATTGGTTCTTTGGATGGCTGCTTTGGGGTGCTTCGGGTCTGTTTGCAGTTGGTCCGTTCCCGCTCTGTGTTTCGTTGTGGTTTTCCTTCCTTGAATCTGGCTGGTTGTGACGGCAGCTTCTATTTTTGATAGTTTCCTTGCTGCAGCCTGATTGTTTCTTTTTACTTTGTCCGACTCTGTGTTCTGTAGTTCCGTAATCCTTTGTTGTCAGTGGCCGATAGACTGGATCAAATTCGATGTGTTTGTTGATGGCTTTTTAAGTTAACTGCCATGATTCTATGAATTCACGGTCTTTCTTTGTTCTCGCTTGAGCCAATATGTGAATGGTGCTCCAGTTGAACTTGTGTCCATCCTGATATTCGTGTACGGAGACGAACGAAAATAGGCCGTGCCTTTTGGCTGCGAGTTTGTGTTCATGTATCCTGGTAGAGAGCTTCCTTCCTGTTTGTCCCACGTAGTGTTTGTCATAGTCTCCGCGCTGGATCTTGTACACGACGTTGGTCCTCAACATTGTGTTCAATCATCCCTTTGGGCTTTATAGTGTTCTCCGTAGGGTGTTTGCAGGTTTGTGGGACACTGTTGTGTTGTACTGTCGTAGCAAGCGTGCTGTCTTTTCCGAAGTATTCCTGATGTATGGGAGTCTGACCCGTTTGCCTCCTCCTTATGCAGTGGGGTTGGTCAAATTGGGTTTTCTCAGAGTCCACCAGATGAAATTTCTGGGCTATCCATTTCTCTGAAAAGCTCTTCCCTGGCTTTTGACTCCGTGGTGTTGCAGTGCGTCTCAATACGCCTGAAGAGGATTCGGATACAGCTTTGCTTGTGACAGTTGGGGTGATTGCTGTGGTAGCTGAGAGTGTGGTCTGTGTGCGTTGCCTTCCTGTAGACTTCCGTCTGCAGTTGTCCGTTTGGTAACCTCGTGATGAGGACGTCCAGGAATGCCAGTTTCCCATCGATTTCTTCTTCCATTGTGAATTGGATATATGGTGAAAAAGCTGTTTATTAGTTGACTTGTTCGTTCAAGTTCATTCCTTTTGATGATGACAAAAGTGTCGTCTACGTAACGGATCCATATCTTGGGGTTTATGTCCGGAAGTACAATTCGCTCCAGTTCTTGCATCACAACTTCTTCAAGCGAAAATGAAGTATACATTAACTAAGAGAACACTGGTGTTCGGTAATGTCGTCTTGACAGTTGAGGACCTCACTGACAAAACAAAAGAGAGTGAGCAAGGTCTCTCATTTTAGACGGGGAGATTAGAGTATTCCACGTTGTCTAACCCATTATAACCGACTCAGGACGCTTCCCTTGTGTACTACCGAGTGAGTTGATTATCTTCCGACTTGATACTACAATCATGTCTTCTGATTTACCTGTTTTAGAAATGTTGCGTTTCACGAACCACCCTGCCAGAACTGGCTTAAGTGTTACCTATTTTCGTGAGCTTGATCCAGTGTGATAAAGCTCAAAGTAAGGATAAACGTAAAAAGCGATCCACAAGGTCCCAGAGAAGAGAGCCTTCTTCCTGAAGTTTTGGATGTAATTTCGAAAAACATGCATGGTTTCGCGTTCCACCCCTCTAAATGTGACTGTTAACACCGCCTTGTAAATGCGTAATATGTGAATTCGTTAGGCAAATGACTGATTTCTAGCGGTAGTTCAAGGATAACGGGTCATAATTCTCTTGATCCAGCTGGGACCAGGCTTCTTGTGAACATCGGAACTGTATGCTTGTAGACGCTAACGTGACAAGGAAGGGTTGCTTCACACTGTTCGACACTGACCACTTCTCTCAAGTGAGATGGCCCAAGTGGTTAGAACGAGAATTTACTGACCGGAATGTCTGAGGTTCGAACCCGACCTCTGCCACTCGACTTCCCCTGTCTAGGCTTGGGCAACCTAGCAGTATCCCAGCCCTGTGCAACCTTCAGGTTGCAGGATAGTTAGGCACCGAAAGGGTGCTACAACTGAACGACGTTCCACGCTGTTCGACATTGACCAGTTCTCTCAAGAAGATAGAATACAACATTTTATCTCAACACCAAACCCTTCTGGATAGACAGCTTCTCACATTTGATCTTCAGATGTGCCCACATAGCCTCACTCTATGACAGACAGTTTCCATATTTGACGAGTAATGTCTTGAAGAGCGCATCATGTGATCAATACAGTTACGATTGTCGACGGTTCGCTGACCTTGGGAGTTCGTTAGCTAGCGTTTCAGCGTGATACCACCAGCTGATTGTTTTGAGACGAAACGGAACGAGCGGTTTGTCCCAGTCGCCACGTCACGTTTCAAAATTAACTACTGACAATGTTATCTCATCGCACCCTGCGTAGCTCAGCGAATAAACCAACAAAAGTGTTCAAACTTATTCACCAAGACTCCGCCTCATAACTGCTTTTTTCGCAGGGTCACTTAAAACTTTATAGTTTGCATGGACGCCCTTATGAACGGGCACATGGTTAGTCAATGTCATCGCACGAACACTTTAGAGCGATAAAAACCGAAAATTACACAATTGCGTGTCCACGTATAGAACAGTGAAATGCCTGTGATATCAGTAATTTTACTGGGTGAGGCGATGTCTCGAATGTTGTACCAACTGAAACATGAAGCGGCCTGTGTGCAGCACATTCAGTTGTAGAATATCATAAACGAGGGATTCAGTCGAGTCTCCCGTGAAAACCAAATTGAGTTGCAAATGAGTGTATTCCTCGAAGTGGTCAGTCTTTGACACCTTCCCTGCTTACTGCTTTCCTCTGATGGGATGAAGCTTTCCTTTTCTAAAAACATCCTGAATGCACAAGAACTCTTCATAAAGGAAGCTACTTACAAGGTTGCTGAAAACGACAAGACCTTGTGAGCTAACTGACCAATCACATGTGGAATTGGTTATGTGTGGACAGTTTGTATAACATCCGGACAAGAATAACGTGCGATATAAAATAAAATAGAAGAGTAGGAATATCACAAACGAGTGGTTCAGCTGGATTTTAGGTGGGTCCCCCTGTCGAAAATTAATTGGTACGTGGATGAGTTTATAAGCAGAATAGAGCAAGTCCATCGTCCAGCGTTTCGCCCTAGATCAGTCGACGTGCGACTGTAACTACGAGTGGACAGACTCGGTGGTGTTTGATGACGGACACATTCCGTGGGTGGTTGCAGCCACTAACAAATTCCTTCATACCAAAGTCCAGTCCGCAAAAGGTGGTAACAAGCCTTTCACTACGGGTACATTTTGGCACATGTTCTTTTCTAAAAACTGAAACGTCAAACGGTTTTGGTTTACGATACACCACGTTGTCTCTCACAGTGAAAGGAAGGTGGAATTGGGGCATTAGCTTGAAGCATCGGATGTTGACGATTCCAAAAAGGACCATGGTAATGGCACTGTACCTGCAAAGGTCACTGAAATAAGCCATGCCGATTTCTATTCTGATGCAGTAAGACCGTCTTCTGACTCAGTTCCTAATGACTAGTTCTGAAACCTCCGTTTGAACTTCTAAAATCGGTGTACTTTCCTCGTCGCTAATGCCACTGTTATTGGTGTACATTTCCTTTAACGGACCGGCTTAACTTTTGGCCAGTTTATCAAGAAGCAAGGGAATCCTTCGAGGCGGAACGTCTCAGTTTTACGTGCAGATATGAAATATTCCCGCCTCAAAAACCTTTTGAAGAAAAATTTGACCTGCATGTTTCTCAGTTGGTTCTCCTAATTCAAATGGTCATATTAAAAATCTCGGGATTGAGAACTTTGTCGAAATGTTGATAACTCAGCTGACTTTATTGTGTTTTTTTTTCAGAGGGCTGTCAATCTGTTCGCCGAGCTTGGCAGTTAACGTGAAAACGTTTCGTCGCCAAACGAGCGGGCATCATTGGAGAGCGGTTGAGTGACTTCAGCTCGATTGGTGAAGAAACGTTAATTGCCAAGCTCGGTGAACAGATCGACAGCCATCTGATCAACAACCAATAACGTCAGAATCTTGCTAGTTCGAAAACGGGAGCAAATGAGTTTTGTCAGAATGCATGTAGTCGACATCCAAACAACACCTCTGTCAAGGCGTTCCCATTTCTTAAGTCCCCCTTGTGATGGAATACTGGAAGACAGTGAACGTTGTAAAGCCTCGATGTTGATTGCTCTATTTAGGTTAATTTAGAAAACCTGTATTGATTGGGATTTCACCTGTCACTTGAAATCAGTCCATGTTAAAAGTCTAGAAGCGCTGTGTGCAACTGTCTTAACTGGTCTCATCAGCTGCGCGTACATCGCGAACCTCTGTAGTGATTCGAAATCTTGATCGTCCGGTCGGTAGTTGAACCCTACACCGTCGGATTACACCTGATTGATCGGCGGTATATATGACTCACATCAAGATGGGGACTAGGGATCTGTTCCGGACAAGCCCCGCCAAAAAAATAACCCCCATCACCCAAAAAAGATTAGAATAAGGGGAATATCAAGCTTGTACTTTTAGTTTTTATTGAAGTGGGTGAAATTGTGAAATGTCACTATTAATTTGCATGAAAAGGTCCGTTTTTCGGTACCTTTGCCTCCAAACGAACACACACAAATAGGTGTCCACTAAAGATTGGTGTTTATTCTGCATCTTGTAGATGTGCCAAAGATATTCGATGGTTTGTGTGTGGGCTGCAGTCGTTGGATCCACAAATTTTTCGACATGATTAACCGTTTCATGAGTATAATTCATGTCAGTCATCATTTCGATTCCTTGGTATGATGCCCTTTCTTGCCGACACTGTCGGGCATTAACCTCCACCTGTCATTTGGTGGCCACTGCTGATTAAGTGTTGCCGATGGATCACTCCGTGGCTTTGCAAAAAACGTATTTCCGTCTCCTTGTCGCGAACGAGAGTTGAAAGCTTCAGAAAGTTCATTTAAGTTTTTACGTCCGACGGAATTTTTGCACAAAAATGGGCCTAGATGCGGATAAGGAACTGTTTTCATCAAAAATAGGTCAAGGTTGTGTACGTACATTAAATTGAAGCTGGCAAAAACTGGCGGGGCTTAACTTTTCGCGCATTCACTTTTTGCATTAGTGGTGGGGCTTATCTGGAAAAGATCCGGGGGCTAGTGTCAATTAGTACCTAACCTTTCTGGGTTTGCAAATACTGAAAAGAAAACAAAAATCTTGGTTGTCACTACCAGTTTAGGTATAGCATCAACCATTCTATGGGCATTCTCTTCGCAGACAAGCACTCAGTATGCCTGAGCATCTTAGGTGCATCTGAAAACACAACTGTAGATATGTCTTCAGATTTGAAGCTGACAGTGACTCATTCAAAAACCAAATAGGACTCAACCTGTCGCCGATGTATGCTTATGTATTCTCGTCAGCTTTGTTTCAGGTCTAGTCCACTCTGAGACCAACCCAAAAACATGTCACCACTGTCTGG